TTTAAATCAAGAGCGAGACTTTACCGAAGAAACAATGAAACATTTTCTCGAAGTATATAATTCCTCAACACATTCTACAACAGGACATACACCAAATTCAATGACACAACAACAAGAAGAAAAGTATATACAAAAGAAACGAAGCCAAACACAAAATATCAGAAATTCAACACAATTTACCCTCATTCCTGGTACAAAAGTTCGTGTAGTTCTTGACGACAAACCGTTGACAAAGAAACGTTTAAGGTTAAGTCGAAATTATTATATCGTAGACTCTACGCAAGGTAATGGATATCTTATAAAAGCTGCTGACGACTCTATTGCGTTTTACCCTCGACATAAATTAGTCGAAAGTAGTAATGGCAAACTTGCTGAAACCATTGACGAAGCAAAGCGAGGAGTGGTTATTGAAATACTTGACTACAACATAAACGATGACACTTATAAAGTAAGATATGAAGGAGGCGTTGAAGATGTTATACCATCTAAGAACTTGAGAGAATCTAAACCAACACATCTGGGACCATTAGAGCGGGAGTACTGGAAAGACAAAAATATGCCAGAAAGAATAAGAAAATTCTTCTAAACTTTTTCGTTGGATGTAAATCAGACAAAAATATATTTTAGGTGAAGAGGTGAGATCTCACCTGTTTTCTCACCTGTTTTTTCACCCTCACCGCTTAGCGGCTCAGACCCTTTGGGTCTCGTGAATTTTCATGAATTTCCTTAAGACAGAAGAAATAAAGTTAGTTTTATTTTTATTTTTTTATTTTGTATAAAAGATATGATTTCAACAATCGGCACAACAACAATTCAAACAACTACAGCACCAAACTCGCTAGTCATGAATCCTACGTCAATGTTGGTAGAGATGAAAAGCTTTATTCCTTCTTCATATACTTTTGAGACAGAAATACAAAGAATTAAGCAAGAACTTTTAACAAGTAATTTAGACTGTAGTGCAAAAGATGAAACAAATGAACAGTATCTTTATGACATGCAGGACATTATTGACCATTTACCCAAATTGCCTGAAATTCAGCAGCAAAAACTAACTATTCATGAATTCGATGAAATAGAAGTGAAACCAACTGACTCAGTAGAAATAAAGAAGTTCATACGTAAAGTAAACTATGAGTTTCTAGGATATCATTGCAACCATAAAGTTATGAACAAAGATTGCAACATGGTATATAAGAACATCTCTGACATATATAAATCTGGGGAGTTTAAGACATACGACAACTTTGTTTCATTAGTTGCTGAATGTGTATGGCAGATAAGAGATAAAGACAGAAGAGGCAAAGTATGGAATGGACAAATAAAACCAACAACTTTTGAGTTAAAGAAAACCATTGACGCCTTAGTTGTTCTAGCAGGTCAAATTTCAATGTATAACGCAAAAATGAATCCGCAATGTTCAAAATGTAAAGCAGCAATGAGGAAATATAACTACTCCGTCAAAGAGATAAAACGTATGAGAAACGACTATGCTGACTTAAAGAAAGAAGTAGAGAAACCAGCAGAAGATAAAATGGACATGTTAGCATTTCTGAACAAAAACTATCCAACAGCTGACGATTTCCTTCTATCTGACGTCAAGAAGAAGTATAAAGAAACTTTCGGCATTGTTAAAACTTTTGACATACTGACAGAAGAAATAGAAGCTACGAAATTGTTTAGAATTTCAAATATACATCGTACAATTCATGTAAAACGCTTATAAAATAACTGGGGTGAAAAATTAGGTGAGAAAACTGGTGAAATCTCACCTCTTCACCTAAAATATATTTTTATTGAATTCAGCAACAAAATTCTGAGTAAAATAATTTTTAGGGCATGTGTCAAACCGTTGAGTTTTCACAAAATTTAAAAAATAACGTTTACCATGTAAAACACTTATAAAATAACTGGGGTGAAAAATTAGGTGAGAAAACAGGTGAAATCTCACCTCTTCACCTAAATATATTTTTATTGAATTCAGCAACAAAAATAATGAATTTCATTAGTTAGAAAAATAAAGTTAGTTTTATTTTTATTTATTTTTTTATTTTGTATGTAAGAACAGAAATGACAAACATTGAGTTTGAAACAGTTAGAAAGATAGACAATGACACCAAAGTGGTTAGAATAGGTGATTTAAACGTAAGATACTCAAAGAAATACAACAAATATTCTTTGTCAGACATTATATCTCCATCTGAAAAGAAAACAAACCATTGGGTTAGAAATGCTTCAACTCAGAAAATTTTGACAAGAAATCCTGAGCTTATGATATCGGTAAGATTCTATGGAACTACAGCATATCTCATTGACAAAAGTCTTATACCAATAGTTTTGTTATGGTTAGACCCAGTTGTTGGATATAACTTCATAACTTATGGTTCATTCGATACGGAACGTTGCAGTGAAGGCTTACTTTACATCGTTCAGAAACCGAAGGACTTCAATACAAAGAGATATAAGATAGGAAGAACATATAATATAACTCAAAGATATGACAGTACAGTCAATAGAGTCAAGGTTGTGTTCGTTAATGATATGAGAGCTGCAGAAACAGAACTACTTGAAAAGTTTGAGAAAAGGTATGGTGCTCCCATGAAAGGTAAAGAAACGTTTGAAGTAGATGAGATAGATAAAGCTATAAAATTATTTGACGAAGTTGCTGAAAAATACATGTAAAGCGTTTATTTTTGGTCTTTTGTGAAAGTCAGAAAATAAAGTTAGTTTTTTATAAAATATTTTTTTTATCCGGAATATAAAGACAGATATGTCAACAACAGAGAACACAACAACTGCTATCGTTCATGAAGCCATTAATGAAGAATATGAATACATACAGTATAACAAACAATTGAGACTCATTCGTTCGGTCAAAGACGATATGTACCAGATGCAAAGTATTTTGACGGCTTGTTTTGCTCCAGACACTAAGCTTCCTAAAGACTGGTTTAGGAACCAAAGCACCATTGAACTCTTAAGCGAAGCACAGCGAGACATACTTTTTTCTGAAAACAGTGAAGAACAGCGAGTAGGTAAAAAATCCCAGTCGCCAAAACTCTATGAAAACCGTGAAAAATTGCCAAACGGTTTGAGAGGATATTATGTTCATAGACTTCTCGTAAATAATGTGGCACAATGGGCTTCAGCTCGCTATTCATGGTATGTTTGTAAACTTCTTGACGAACTTCACAGACAAGAACGCGAAGATATGGAAAAGAAACTTCATGCAAAAGATGAAGTCATTGAATCCAAAGACAAAAGCATACAGAAAAGAATACCACGTTCAGTACCAAAAGGAAAGGAAAAGAGTTATAAGTATATGATATATACTGAAGAGTTGGAGAAAGAAGAAGATAAAGATATGGTTATGTTGCATTTAGTCAGAAGAAACAACAAGAGCTTTTATGACTTAGCTAAAATATATAAATCTGACAGAAACTGGTTCTATCGTGAAAACTTACCGATTTCAATGACACCGAATGAAGATGTGAAACAAATAGTTCAAGATACGTTACCTCAAACACACTATGACATCAAAGGTTGCACAATACTTACATTCAAAGAAGACTTAACATTACTGAAAGAAAAGATAACAGAATATTTCGACAACTTCAAAGAGGAAGAATGAAGTCACGACAACATTAACGAAGAAGTCACGACAACATTAACGAAGAGAGAATGAGGTGAAAAAACAGGTGAAATCTCACCTCTTCACCAAAAATATATTTTTGAATAACTGAAGGTGTCACCACATCACCATGTGTCACCAGGTTAATTAACTTCTCTTAAAATTACTGTCAAAATGACATGTTGTCATCACATTTTGACGAAGTGCGAATCTTCACTTCGTGTCATAATGCAAAAATAATGCTGAAAAATGAAATTTCTTCTTTCGTACCTGTTGTCAAAATGACATGTTGTCATCACATTTTGACGAAGTGCGAATCTTCACTTCGTGTCATAATGCAAAAATAATGCTGAAAAATGAAATTTCTTCTTTCGTACCTGTTGTCAAAATGACATGTTGTCATCACATTTTGACGAAGTGCGAATCTTCACTTCGTGTCATAATGCAAAAATAATGCTGAAAAATGAAATTTCTTCTTTCGTACCTGTTGTCAAAATGACATGTTGTCATCACATTTTGACGAAGTGCGAATCTTCACTTCGTGTCATAATGCAAAAATAATGCTGAAAAATGAAATTTCTTCTTTCGTACCTGTTGTCAAAATGACATGTTGTCATCACATTTTGACGAAGTGCGAATCTTCACTTCGTGTCATAATGCAAAAATAATGCTGAAAAATGAAATTTCTTCTTTCGTACCTGTTGTCAAAATGACATGTTGTCATCATTTTTAAAAGAAGTTAATTAACCTGGTGACACATGGTGACGTGGTGACACCATCAGTTATTCAAAAATATATTTTTGGTTAAATATCTTCAGGGTCTATTTCTTCAACCATTTCACTTCCTTCGTCAATGTCAATAGAAGCTTCTTCAACCTTTGGTAAGAATTTCTGTATAACATCTTTGTTCGTTATTGTCTTCAGAGATGAAGGATAATATTTCACAGATGTTTCACCTTTCTTATATTCTTTCTGTTCGGAAAGATTCATAGCAATACTGAAGAAGTCAATGTTGGAGTTCTTTATAACAGTATAATGAGTATCTTTGACATTCACGAAAAAACTCTTTTGTTTCAAAACTACTGCTAACTCTTGTGAAGTATAACGTTTGCGGTCAATGACGATAGCTAATGGTCTGACATACTGACCAAACTTAGATTCTTTCACAAACTTCTTGTTAAAGATAACATTGACGTTTGAAGCACCATTGAACTCATTCTTGATGGCAGTAGCGAGAGCATTGTATGAAAAGAACTTGCAATCTTGCATGTGTTTCATTAAAATAAAAATATTAAATTATTTTGAAAAATAACTTTAAAAAATCTAATCTAATTTTTTCAAAAAAATATTTTTTTATTTCCTACTAAAGATGTATCGGAAGTTGTCTAAGTTAGAACACTCGGAAATAAAACAACTTCTTACAGAAGCTAATATAGATGTTGCAAAACATTACGCGACAAACAAAAAATCACTCGCTGACATCCTCAATGACTACAATGGTGAAATAACTTATGATAGAATTCATGAGTTCATAAAGCCGCAACGCGGCGAGAACGAAGTCCATGCAAGAGCATTTCCTTTAAATGACGTTGCTATTGACTTATATCATAGACGTTCAGTACCTCATGAAGTAAGAAGAGAAATGTTTGACATAACAAATGCAAACGTTGGTCATACTCGTAAAGCTCTTTCGCATGATGTTCGTCAAGAGATGTTTGAACTTACGAACTCAAACGTTGGTGAAACACGAAAGAGAGACGACACACTGAAACAACAGAGAAGAGAGATGTTTAAAAGTGCTATAGAACAAGTTCGCAAAGCTAACGATGTCCTTCGTTCCATTGACGACAAACCAAAAGAAGGTGAGAGATGGTTAAAGAAAGATGAAGAGAATAGGAAGAGGAATGTGAAGTCAGGCAATAGACTCATTGACTTTAACATCGAAGCTTTAGATGAACCAAACAGAGACTACTTACACAAACATTTCGGTAAGGTTTTCATGAGACTCTTAGAGAAGATTAAAATAAACTCCCAACAAAGATGGATGGTATGTTATAAACTTGGTGGAAAGTATGAATGTTCTACGTTAAACCTCAATAATATTGGAACATTACTACATCAGCTCTTGAAGGAGAACTTTATATCAGAGATAGAAGCAAATGCGCAGGTATTGTTGAAATGCACTATGACTTCTTCTTGACAAACATAAAGAATCTTACTGAAATAAAGATGTATGATTTAACAGAATATGAAGGCTTAACGATGTCAGATGTTAAGAAAGGAAAGCCACAGAAGCGACCATATAGAGATGAAAGCACACTGACAGAAAGACAGAAAAGATTATTGAACAGACTTAAACAAACAGGAGATAAACAAGATATAGATGACTTCTGGAATGAAATCCTTGGTGAAAAGAAGTTTTATAAGAAGAGAAGCGGTCAGTTCTGGAAGTATCTTTGCACGTTACCTATAAATCTTGAACGCTACCAAATCTTCAATGAACTGAACAAAAGAACTGCAGCACTTATGACAGAGGACAATTGTTTCGTTTATGCTTGCATTCAGGCTGGAGTAAATGAAGAAACTATTGACCACATGAGAAGTCATTCGTGTTAGAGACTTTCCTCAAAGTAAAGTACAAGAAATTTCTGACGCAACAGGTATAGCATTTAATGTTACCATTGGTTACTTCAATGACTCAAGACATAATGAAATAAAGAGATACATACCAAAAAATGTGAAACTGTTCGAACTATTGACTTACTTCTTGTTGAAGACCACTACATGCTAAATGAAAGACTTCCAATGACAACATATTTCATTCGCAACTATATAGAAATCTTGAAGGAGTGTGGTGGAATGAACATTGAGAAACAGATGAAGATTTATACAAAGAGAGAAGATAAATATGTAGTTCGCATGGATAGAACTACACCGCTATGGGATGTTATGAAAACATTGTGGGAGTGCAAATATTTCGAACCTATTTCTTATGGAGAACTTTTCACATATACGACTGACTTATATAAACAGAACCTTGCACCATTTAAAGATTTGACATATGCTCCAAAGTATTGTGTACAACTGAAGAAGAAAGCCGAGTCAAAAGAAGTAAATAAAGCTAAATGTAAGTTCATTCCTGAGCACGTTATCTTTGCTGACTTTGAGTGTAGCACAGACGGCTTTCATAAAGCTTTTAACATCTGTTATGACAGTGAAGATGGTTCAGTGAGTGAAAGCATTTGGGGTCAGAACTGTGCAACAGAATTTTTGGAACGACTTCCTGACAAGAGTTTAATATATTTCCATAACCTCAGTTATGATATAAACTTCATCTTAAGACACATGACAGAAGTGAAAGGAACTCCCATCATTAAAGGTTCACGAACAATGCAAATAACTGGCTTATATAAAGGAAGGGCAATTATTATAAAAGACTCTTACAGTGTTATAAATAAGAAGCTTAAACTATTTCCTGCTATGTTTAACTTACAAACAGGACCGAAAGAAGTATTTCCATATAACTACTACAGCAGTGTTTTGTTAGCAAATGACAACAGAACTGGTGTCATTTCTGAAGCATGTAAGTTTATCCGGGATGCAGATACATTCATGAAAAACATAGATTCCATCAAAGGTTGCAGAATAGATGAGAACCACTTCGACTTAGAAAAATATAGCACGTTTTATTGCAAACAAGATGTAAGAATTTTAAGAGAAGGTTTTGTTAAGTTCCGCAATGACATATTGAAAGAATTTGATTTAAACGTTTATGACTACGTTAGTATTTGTTCAATTGCTAACAAATTATTTGAGAACAGAGTATACTTCCCGAATGGAAATCTTTATGACCTCTCAAATAAACCAAGAGAATTTATTTCGAGATGCATTCAAGGTGGAAGATGTATGCTGTCAGATAACATGAAACAAAAGAGTAAAGAGAAACTCATTGCTGATTTCGACGCTGTTTCATTATATCCATCCGCTATAGCAAGACTTTATACTTTAGAAGGTATTCCGAAAGTATTGAAGAAAGAAATGTTAAGCACAGAGTATCTCATGAGACATTTATTCGATGACGACCAAAAGGAACCCATTGGTGAAAAGTTTATGTCTGGCTTCTTTGTTCTCATTAAGATAACAGAGATTGGAATACATAGACACTTTTCCTTTAATAGTTTGTGACCCTGAACTAAATCCAGAACTTAACGTTCCCAGAAGTTCAAACACTTGCTGTCTCATGTATGTTGACCATATAACATTACAAGACCTCATAAAATATCAAGGTGTCAAATGTGAAGTGTTGCAAGGATACTATTACGATGGAAACAGAGATATTAGAATAAGAGATGAAGTAAAGAAGTTGTTTGAGTTAAGGTTAAAGTATAAGAAAGAAGGAAATCCTTTGCAAGAAAATATAAAGCTCATTCTGAACAGTATTTATGGCAAAACTATTCTATCTCCTATTGAGTCAAAAATAACCATAGTAAATGACAAAGATGCTATAAGATATGCCATCAGAAACTACAACCATATAGTGAAGTTCGAAGGTTTGGATGGTTCAGATAAAACTATTTTCAAGCTAACGAAAAGCATTTGCAGACACTTTAACTTCTGTCCACTTGGTGTTAACATTCTGTCTATGTCGAAGAGAATAATGTGTGAAGTATTCTGTACTGCTGAGGACTTAGGAATGGACATCTTTTATAGCGATACGGACAGTATGCATCTCTACAATGAAGATATCCCTCGTTTAGCTGAAGAGTTTGAGAAACGTTATGGAAGAGTTCTCATTGGTAAAAACCTTGGTCAATTTCATAGCGATTTTGCAGAAATCACACCTGGAAAACAAAGTTTAGCATACAAGTCAATATTTTGTGGAAAGAAGACTTACATAGACTTACTCACTAACGATTTAAATGAAGTTGCATTCCATGCACGTTGCAAAGGTGTCAAACAAGACGTCCTTGCTTTAACAGCTAATGAAATATTTCCTGAAGCTATACAATGCTATTACAATAAAGATAAAGGTTTAATGGTTCCGCAAGGAAAATTTGACAAAGACTCTGAGTTCAGTGTTATGAAACTTTACAAAGCACTTCATGATGGTCAAGAGATTGGATTTGACTTATGTAAGTCTTCTAGTCCTTGCTTTGCTGAAAAGTTTAACTTTTCTATTCAGACTAAGACTTCATTCATAAGAAAGCTTAAGTTCTGAGGTCATGAATGAGAAAAATAATAAGGTCATTTATTTTTGTCAGCAATGAGACCATTCATGATAAAAATAAGCCGCTAGCGGCAAGGGCGAAGCCCATGTGGTCATTTACAATACTGCGATGGTAGAGTTTAAGAGTTGTGCTTCAATGTAGAGACAGTCCTTATGGTCTGGAGGTAAGAACACTGGGCAGTTATGGTCATGAGTGGAGAACATGTCTATCCAAAACTCACGATTGAAGCCAGTTAATTTATAGTATTTAGGGTTAGGAAGTGGTGAAGTTCTTGTATGACCAATGAACTCATTTTCAACTCCCTTACTTAAGTTTGAATATAATATAGCTTGCTTTCTATCCCAAATGCCAGGTGTTACAATCTTTGAAAATTCATTTTTCCTCGGAAGCATTGCATTATAATTGAAAACATTCTTGAAGTCTTCATTGGGTTCAGAGATTTGAAACCTTATACGTAATGGATTTTCTTTCTCTTTAGCTACTTCATTGAATTGTGAATATATAACAAACTGACAGTCATGAGTTCCATCTTCATTTTCATTAAATTCATAATGAAAGTCTATAAGTTGTGGCTGACTACCTTCTTCTTTCAGTTGTGCAAGAAACTCACGTAAAGGCTGTAAAGTTTGTACTTCAATGTTAAACTTTTTCTCGAACATCTCATTAAATGAAATCATACATTGTAGCAATGTTGTATCGTCTTTAAAGTATTTGTATATGTGAATGTTTTGGGCACTTAAAGACTGTTCGTCATTTTCTATCTCGACTTGAAGTATAAGTCAACCTTTCTGAAAGCACGTGTTATATACATAGATGTTATGCCAATGTACTTCTCTTCATTTATGTTCACAATCCAGTCTGTTGGAAACTTAAACGTTACTCTGTTCCCCTTTATTTTGACGTCAGGGTTTTCACTACTGAACGCAACAGTTAAAGGTATTTGTCTATACATTTAATTCGGATAAAAATAAACCATTTACTCTTTCTTTGCTTCAGCTTCTTTAGCTTTTGCTTCAGCTTCTTCTCTAGCTTTCTTCGCCAGCAAACGTGGGTTCTTTTGTCTTCCAGCAGCTAATGCAGCAAGTTGTTTTTCACTAAGTTTTCTCTTTGGTCTCTCTGGCTTTTGTTCTTGTTTTTGTTCCTTCAGTTCGGATAAAATTTGCTCACGAATTTCTTTCTTCAATGCTTCAACATCTATGACCCCTTGGGTCTTGTCCGTAGGGCTTGTCTGAGTCATTTGACTGCAGATAAAAAACTAAATTAAAACTTAACCGGTGTAAAATGAGCTTGTCAAAATCAGAGCGAGAGTCTATTATATTAAATGACGCAAGAGGAATACAACATCCTTTCTATTACGTAAGTCAGAGTAAAGATGGTAAAATATACGTAAGAAAAAGAAAGGTTCCATTAGCGAATGCAGAGAGCGACAACATTTAAGGTGTATGGCAAGGGTGAAGTCCACGAAGTCCATATAAAACCTTCTATTCAAACTGAAAAGTCAATAGAACCAGAAGAAAAGAAGCCAGATGTTCTTTCAATAACGAACCAAGAGCTTATTGCAAAGTTCGTGAATTTCATTGAAAAGCAAACCGAGTCAAAGAACCCTGACCCACCAGTGAAAGAAGTTGAGACAAAAGAGAATCTACAGTTCATTGAAAATGTCAAGAAACAACTTCCACCACGAATGCCAAGAAGAAGAGTGAGAATAATGAAGTAAATAGATATTTTTATCTGAAGTAAATACATGCAGAACGAACAGTTAAACGAATTTACTCCAGCAGAGCATATTCATCAGATTCGCTCATATTTCGATATCATAGACAATGCAGTTCAAATTGGTGACACTAATAGAAAATATTCTGACGCAAAGATTCCATCACAACCTGGAACTGCTAAAGATAACACATGGGTAACATTCAATCTCTCACCTCCTGGTGAAAATATGTTGGACCTTTACAATACATTCATTACGTATAAAATGGAAGGTCAATTTATTGTAGATAAAGAAATTGGTTCAGGTTCCAATAAAACAAACCCACCAGGATTTTGGATTGGTTTCGATGACGCTTTCTATGCAGTTGCTGGATATCAAATCCTTGCAAATGGTCGTATCGTATATTCTCAAGACAACGCAAGAGAAGAAGCATATATAACTTCAAACTCACAAACTACCGAACAAATAAAGAAAGTAGATGTTTTTTCAAAGACTCGACATGAAGATGTATGGAGTCATTCGGGAACATGCAGAACAGGACAAATTGTTAGTGGGCCGATTACAGCAGGAAAATCATTTGATTTTAAGCTTCGTTTAAGAATTCCTGTTAGAAGATTCCTTCCATTAGAAGCTATTCGATTTATTCCAGCTTTTGCAGGAAACATTCAGCTTAAAGTAAAGTTCAGTAGCGACGCCTTACAATGCACATCTATATCTGTAAATGATATCATTGCTTTCAATCCAACTCTTAAAGTTGCATTTGCTTCAGATTCAAATTCACCGACAAATAAATTTGTTCCATGGAATGAACCATTCACTATGATAACGAAGTCAGTAGAAGCTAGTGGAACAGTTACTATTACAACTGTAACCCAGCAACTATTTCGAACAAAGATGGATTTTAATGAATGTTTCATTCATCCAAAGTCATTCTCTTTAGACCCTAACATTTATACAGAACTTGTAGAACATTATACAAACGAGGCTTTATGTTTTCCTGTTAAAGTTATGGATTGGATTCCTATGGATGGTTCATTCTCAAAGAATACAGATAGTTCAAGTGCAACATTTACAGCAGCTTATACGCCTATTAATGTTAAAAGTATTTGGGCACTATTTAGAAAGAAAGACAACTATTATGTTAATTTTGAGAACCCTAAGTTTAAATATCTTCAGCTTTCCATGGGACTTATGGAAATATGCCTGCAGAACCTGAAAAATCATATGGACCTGTATTTTATGAAATGGTTGCGAACGCTTGCAATACAAACAATGATATGATAGGATTTAATGAAGATGTTATGAGGTCATTGGTGGATGATGGTAGTGTGGAACATAAATGGGATAGCTATGACAACACACATTTCTTATGTGGTTTTCCAACAGAAGTGGACTTTTGCTTCCAGCAAGGTCAAACATCTACTGCTCCAATAACATACAAATTGTCTGTTAAAGGACCTATTGAACTAGCAACTGAAAATGTACCAAAGCCACTTATTGGATTTATGAGGGATTGTTGCTTTGCCATTCAGGTGCGTGCTAATGGCATCCCCATAATAAGATTAGATGACTATAACTTAGCTACGGACGACAGTGAGGAATAAAGGATGAACGTTTATTTTAAAGCTTATAAATGAGTTCTTCATCAAGCTCTCGTGAACCTTCACCATCTATGAAACAAACTTTACCAAACGATTATGGAGCACCTATTGAATATTTCTTACGAGCTGCACAATGGCAAAGAGCAGTCTCACCAAGGTTAGGTGTTCCACCAGCTCCTGTCAAAAATAGCATTTGGTCAAGTCCTTATATAAAATATGGTCTCCCACTAGGTTTGCTAGCTACAGCAGGAGCAGTTATGATGTTGAAAAGAAATAAAGCAAATGTTGTAAATAATACTGAAGTAGCTGAAGTTAAACAAACTCCAACACCTTCGCCAAAACCAACGCCTTCACAAACAACACCTTCAATGACTCCTGAACCTATGGAAGTACAAACTCCTGTTCAAAAGTCAACTCCTAAACCGACTCCAACATTTAAACCAGAACCTACTCCTCAAATAAATCGTAAAACTCCTGCGTTTCCTTACTGAAAAAAATAACGTTATTTTTATTTAATATTAAAATTTTTATTTGATTGAAATGACAAATAAAGTCACTGAAGCAATGAAACAAAAGTTTTTGGTAGAATACATTAAATCAGGAACTATTCCAGAAGGTTTTTACATTCATACTATGAAAGATGGTAGAGTTCAGTTTAGAAAGATAAAGCAACCATTAGATAAAGAAGGAATTTTGAGAAAGATTAAACTTCATGAGGACAACATTGCTGAACTTAAGAAGAAGTTAGAAGAGTTGGAGAAAGGAAGAGAGTTATAAAGCAATGAATTCAACAGGGTGAGAAAAGAGGTGAGAAAAGAGGTGAGATCTCACCACTTCACCTAAATTTATTTTTGTGCTATGTTTTCATACGTGTGAGGGTGGTGATATCATTAATTTTTAAGTTTATTTTTTATTTTATTTTTATATAAATGACGAAAACTATTGAGATAACAAACTACAACGGTCATGAGTTCAAGAATTTGTTCTTCGTTCCTCGTGAAAATACATTCTATCAGATACGAGGGAGAAAGGGTAAAGTTAGTTTGAGCGTTTATGAAGGAATGAAGAATGGAAAGTTTATACAAGCATACGATACAAACGGTAAGCGTGTTTCATTAGCTTTGTCAAAACTTACTAACATTTATTTTGACAGTGATTTTGACTCTGACGATTGGAGCGACAGCAGCGATACTGAAGAATATGAACTATTGTGTGAAGCACAGCAATGGGAAGAGTTGCAATACTTTTGTAAGTGAGAACGTTTATTTTTTACAGTAGTGAAGTCGTTTGTGAAAACATTTATTTTTTCATTAGTGAGGTGAAGTGGTTGGCGGCTTTGTAAATCTTTAAGGTTAAGTTAGTGTTGTCGTTTGTGTTGTAAAATATACGTTAACAGTTTCGTAAAGTGTCAAATTCACATATAATGGGTAAGGAGGCGCGCAGTGCCTCAGTACACGAGATATGTATACTAACTGACAAAATCTTTCTAGGATATAGGTTACCTGAGATGGGCGACCAGAGCCTAAAGGCAAAAAGGACATGGGAAATTTACAACATACTAGGTGAACATGAGGCAAAGATGCAACAACTTAAAGCAGAGGGCAAGTTACCAAAAGCGACACCAAAGAAGAAGAGAAGAGTAGAACAAAGTGAAAGTAGTGAAGAAGTAATTTCA